CATAATTACAATTTTGAAACATATTAAAAAAATTTATTGATAAAAAATATTTAAAAATATATATAAGCTTATAATTCCATTCCAAACGTAGGCAAGGTGTCAATATGTAACTTGAAACTAGGAATCAAATCAATCCCGGATACGCGGTCTTTAACACAATCGGCCCCGACATAATATCGAAATCATATCGAGGGCGACGACCACCCGGATCATGACTAGCGTCGCGTCGGGAACCACCACGAACGAGACCCGCCTCAACCGGCTGCTCCGCCCCTGGGTGATGATGAGCATCATCATCGTCATGATCGTCATCGTAGGGAATCCGAGAAGGTCCAACTATATCTCTCGAATGCCCCGCTACTACTCTCGATGTCCCAACTACATCAGGTACATCGGGTAATCTCTGACTGACCCTTCTATGCCGCTCAGATGTAGTCATAGGATGACGATCCACTCGACCAACAACAACCTCGGGCTCTCGTGGAGGTCGGACCACGATCCTAGGAACCTTTTCTTTTCCCTTCTCAAGATCAACCATAAGCCCTTTCCCCCTACCATGCCCTGCCATCTGTACAAATAACAGTTGAAATAAATAAATTTAAACTAAAATAAGTATTAAAAAAATAAAATTGAAGTTTTCGTGCTCTACAGAATGAAACTTCAACAGCTTCAACATTTTTTTTTCAACAGAGTCCTAAACCTAATCGTAAACCTACATTTGTTAACTAATTCATAAATAAATTGATTGGAACAAAGTAGGTTACAAAAAATTACCGTAATCGAGATTCGTAAGTGACAGATTAAATGCGTATAGTTTGAATGTTTTGAGAGAGTTTCAGAGAGGTATAAAATTTTTTGAAATGATTAATAATATCCCGTTGCGACCAGCAAAAGTCTCGCTGCAAATAGCAAACCCCTTGTTGTTTGGATGGATTAGTTGATGTAATCTTTTATCCCTTAGCTTGTGTTTGTGATTGGGTTTCCTATTGGAGAACACTCTCTTATTTGTTTTAATATTATTGCTCATTTTCTTATAAAAAATAAGAAGGGTTAATATGCTAAGAGCCCCTCAAATGAAACTTAATTTGAACTAAATAACAAGTTCAAAACCAATCTTTTATTTAAATCCTTAATTTGAAACAATATATGACATACATCCTTAATTATTTTTTTATCCCTAAATTACCCTTATAACCTAAATATTTAATCTACATATTCATTCAGTTTTTTTTAATTAAATTTATTTCTATTTCTTCTCCCCTCATTCTCTCTCTATCCCCTCCCTCTCCCGTCTCTTTTTTCTCTCCTTTTCTCTCCCTCTTTCTCCATCGTTTTCTTTCTTTCTCTCTCTGTCTCTCATTTTATTTTCTCTTTTTCTCTCCCTTTCTCTGAACTAGTTTTTTGATTGGAGAAGCAAACGGGGTGGCGGCGGACGAGAAGGCGGCGGCGGAGTGGGCAGATCTGAATATTAAGGCGGCGGCTGCGGTTGCGGTGAATCTATGGTGAAGGCGCCGACGAAGTGGGTAGCGGTGGCGCGTCGGATCTATGGTGGAGGCGGTGGATCTGAAGCGGCAATCGAATGCGTAGCGGAGGCGGCTTCGAGGGTAACGCTGCCCAGCGGCGACGCTTGGAGTTCGAGAATGGTGTTGGTGGTGCGGTGATGCGCGGATATGTGATGGCAGCGTGGGTGGGGTGGCCGGTGGTATCCTTAGAGGCGTGGATGGGGTGGGTGGCTTTCGGCATCACGGATCTAGGGTTTGGTGGGTGGATCTAGGGTTTGGTGGGATAAATCCAAAAAATTTCGATTTGATGTCTATGGGTTACTATGGGTGTCTGGTTGCTAGGGTTAAAAGGAGAAACTAGGGTTTCAAGAATATGCTATCATAGAAGTCTATGGATTACTACAGGTTACTACAGATTACTACAGTTTCCTATAGTTTCCTATGAATGTCTATACATGACTGAGACGGATTTTTTTTTTAAATTCATAATTTTTGATATCACGTAGAAAATAATGGAAAAAAATAGATTCTTAAAATACTGAAAAAATACGAAAATGAATAAAAAAAAAAAAGAGTAAATGTGTTGTACGTAAAAAAAATAAAAAAATGTTCAATGCAAAATGAAAATGTTAAATGATTAATAAAAAATGATAAACACAGTTTAAATGTTACTTGATGCAAATTTCATATTTTGTGTGTGGAGGGCATTTTTGGAATAAAATTTATGAAGGATGTGAAGCAAATGTTTAGTTAGACTTGTCATTTAGTTCTAATAAGTTTTCCCACCAGGGACCTATATCCTAAGACCCCAAATAAGAAAGATAAAAAAAAGAAGATAATAACAACCCCACCCAAATATCCAATATACCCTGGTCGGCAAGAGGAAAATCTTCAACTTTAGCTAATAGGCCCCACCTTTTTGACGAGTATGAAATTGACCCTTAGCCTTTACTTTCAAATGAAAAATAAAATTAACTCCATACACAAACGGAAATTGACCTAAATTCTCAGCATGGAAATGAAATTTATTATATTGGAGAGCCAAATCTGACCACGTATAATGGTCTTGTCTGTTGTTTTCACTTCCACATAGGGCTTAAAAAATATATATATATATATATATATATATATATATATATATATATATATATATATATATAAATATATATATATATATATATATATATATATATATATATATATATATATATATATATATATATATATATATATATATATATATATAATAATTATTATATAATATTATGGAAAAAAATCAAAATAACCATAATGATCTCAAAATTGGATCGAAAATCGAAAATTTCAAATTTTTGTAATACTTTCAATTCCATGACAAATAAAATCACAAAAAATTTCGACTGGAATTTATTTGGAAATAGAAAAATGTTTGGGAATAAAAAATTATGGGTAATTTTCAAACACTTCCCTGAACTTTAGTCTATTAGAAAAAGAAATTAAAAAATTTGCATGCTTGTCCACATCTCCAAGTGTAATGATTTACAGTAGAACCTCAATAAATTAATAATCTCGCTTAAATAATAAATTTTGCCGGTCCCAACTCGAGGACAACGTCCTAAATTAATAATTCGCTAAATTTATAAGATAATACACATTTGAAAATTTTAAGAAGCCCCATATAATATATAAATTAATAATGCATAAAAATAATTTTTAAATTACATGGTACTACATATTTTATAGATCTATGAAGGTTTAATACAATATAATTTAATTCTCGCTTGTTTCTTGTTGAAGTTCACATTACCATTAATCTCGTCCCTCACTTTTCTTAACATGGTTAAAACTTTCAGTATAGTTTTCTCATAACTCAACAGAAAATCGTTATATACCATTGCTGCTTTAAGAACTTCCATTCGTGAAACGGGCTCTGTAGTGCATTGAACTAATGGTACAATAAATAATATACATGTAAATTTAATAAAAAAATGTATTTATTGAAAATAATAATAAAAGTAATTTCATAAATTAATAAGTTATTAATTAATGTATAAATTAATAAATATTAATTTATCGATAAGTTAATATTTTGTTAAATTAATGAAATCTTGATGATCCCAGCTGTATTAATTTATAGAGGTTTAACTGTATACTAATCCAACACTTAATTTGGATTAATAGATCAAAAGACACTCTTCCAATTCTTTCTTTCTACACTTGGCTTTTCTTCAACACCACCACCACCAAAGCACCACCACCTCCTTCGGACACCACCACCACCTTTCAAGAACAATAAATAAGCACATCAAGAATGCAAATTCCCTACACCTTCACTCTTGAATATGATAAAAACACCATAAAGAACACTCGTCCTCTCACGGGAGAACAAAACTCCTCTCAACTTGATATCAAAGTTCTCTTATTCTCCATTCAACTAACTTGGTTTGATTTTGGATCACCTCCTAGAATAGGTAATATTTTTCTTAGAAAAGAGTCTTCATTTTTTTCCTTTTCTTCCTCTAAAAATCCTTTTTCTTTTGAAGGGTTTTCCTCTTGGCCAACACTCCTTTCTTTTTTGGTGTTATGTAAGAAATCTCGAATTTCTTGCTGCAACTAAAGAGTATCGTATAATGGGAAAAAAATTCAAAATTATCTAAAAGATTGTCACTTTTCGAAAATTAGAGCTTTGTGTAAAAACCGAAATTTTGTGCTAATCTTGCAATTTATATTTTTCTATAACCAACTTTTTAAGGTTGATTTGGACACTTTTTTTTTTGTGTGAGTGTGCAAATGGTAGAAAAGTCTGATCGTTTTATTTGGTTATATTTTTCTCTAAACATTTGTTTAATGATCTTCGTGAAGCAAGTTTTGTGTTCATCTATAGAATCATATTTTACAAAAAATAAAAATTAACACAGTGATATTTTTATTTATAATGTCAAATTAACGTGTTTATGCACCATTTCGATTAGTTATACAATAATCATGTAACATTTCCTTTTCTGTATTTATGAGGAAAAAATGTGAATTTTAAAGCAAATTAAGAAACAAGCATCGATGAAAAATAGAGAATAAATAGATGAGGCGATACGGTTGCCTAAAAAATCAAAATTTGGAGCTAGTGCAAGTACATTATTAATACATAATTTCCAGAGCTAAGGGTAAATATGTATTTTCTAGTCAAAACTAACGGTTCATTAACGGAAAAATGGATTGATGAGTGTGTATGACAAAAGATCAAACGTTTGGGGGGTAGTTGCCAAATACCAAAGTTCCGGGGAGGTGGATGCAAATTATCCTAAAAAAATTAATAGAAAAAGTACCGAAGAGTACCGACCAAAGTCACCATTTGCCCAACGAGGATGACGCCTAAACCTAACAACGAAATTGACCAAAACAGAGGCATTAAAATCACGTTGTTTTAGTTGCTGCTGTAAACGGGAAAGAGGTAAGAAAGAGAGGCCCATCGATACGATACGTCTCTGTATATAAACGCAACAAATCTTCTGCATAAAATCTACTCCACAAGTTGTGGTTCTCTCTCGGGCAAGAGATAATATCCCCTGTCTATTATCTACTTTCCCTTCTCCCAAACCATCTTCCATTCTTGCAAATACATAATTCTGCAAACCCCTCAAATCCACACTCCACACATTCCTCTCTCTCTCTCTTGTTCTATCTCTCTGTGTGTGAGAGAGAGAGAAAAGAGAGAGGGGTTAATTCATCTTGGGCTCGGAAGAAAGAAAAAATGGCTAGTTGGGTATTATCAGAATGTGGTGTGAGGCCACTTCCAAGAATTTACCCAAAACCAAGAACCGGTTGCGCCCCTCAAGCTTTCTTTAATTCTAATAAGCTCAGAATTTCGAGAACAGATCAAGGGTTTGGTTCTTCCTTCTGTTCATCAGATGGGATTATTAATATTAATAAAGGAAGAAAGTGGGTTGTGAAAGTGAGTGCGCCGCCATCAACTGTTATAGAAGAAGAAGAAGAGAATAAGGAGGCAGCAGAAACTGGGGTTACAGAAGAATCGGAATTCGACCCGGCGGCGCCGCCTCCATTTAAGTTATCTGACATTAGGGCAGCAATTCCAAAGCACTGTTGGGTCAAGAATCCATGGAAATCTATGAGCTTTGTGGTCAGAGATGTAGCCGTGGTTTTCGGATTGGCTGCTGTGGCTGCATACTTCAACAATTTGCTTCTTTGGCCTTTCTATTGGTTTGCTCAGAGCACTATGTTCTGGGCTCTCTTTGTTCTTGGCCATGACTGGTAATAATAATTAAAAAAAAAAAAACAAAAAAAAAAGATAGACTTTTTTTGTTTTTTTGTTCTTGTGATTTTTTATTTTATTTTTGAATGAAGTTGTGTTTTAATTTTTTGATGGGTGTTGGTTTGTGCAGTGGTCACGGGAGCTTTTCGAATAATCCCAAGTTGAATAGTGTAGCTGGTCATCTTCTTCACTCTTCGATTCTTGTACCCTACCATGGATGGTATGTTGTCTGCAATTTTATTTATTAATCTCGATTAAATTGAACGTAATGTGTATGTTAAATGTTGGTTGTTTGAATAAATGCAGGAGAATTAGTCATAGGACTCATCATCAGAACCATGGACACGTTGAGAACGACGAATCTTGGCATCCCGTAACCAATTTCCGACTTTCTTGATAACTGTTAGTAGCTACAAAGAAGAAAGATTGAATTTTAAGTGATCTTCTTTTATTGTTGTTCTTGTTGTTATTGCACAGTTGCCTGAGAAGATTTTCAAGAGTTTGGATAATGTTACGAAGAAATTACGGTTCACATTACCTTTCCCTATGCTCGCATATCCCATCTATCTGGTAAGCTGCTCTACTTTTTCCACTATCATATTCTTTTCTACGAACTTTTTAATGATTTTTTTAATTTTTTTTAATTTATAATTGTTAATACACACAGTGGAGTAGAAGTCCTGGAAAAACAGGATCACATTACCATCCAGACAGTGATTTGTTTGTACCGAATGAGAGGAAAGATGTAATTACCTCAACTGTGTGTTGGACGGCTATGGTTGCTTTACTTGCTGGATTATCTTTCGTTTTTGGTCCTCTTCAAATACTCAAACTATACGGCATACCTTACTTGGTTAGTCACTATATATAATCCCTTCGATGTGTTCTATGCTGAATTTTTGTCAATCATAAAACCCCCGTTAGTGTTATTTTTCTGGCTTTTAAATTCTTCGTAAAATTTTGGTATTTTCGTTTGGCTTGCAGGGCTTTGTAATGTGGCTTGATTTAGTTACCTACTTACATCACCATGGACACGAGGACAAGCTTCCTTGGTACCGCGGAAAGGTAATCCTCAACTTGGAATATTTAAAAAAAAAATTTATTTTACTTTACGTTTACGGACCTGAAAATATAGTTTGATTTATGTCATAGCTTTCGTGATTCAGTTATAGGTTATGTTTAGAAATATATTTCCTTCCTTTTTTTTTTTTTTGAGAAAGATGCTTTAGAAAATTCGTTTGAGAAATTAGAAGGATTCTGAAAAAACGAGCATTTGTTTTGGATGTGAAGTAGTTTGGAAGAATTCCAAAAAAACGTTTCAAATGGAACACTTGATCTTGTACTTTGTTAGAATTATGTTATGAAAGTCACTTAATTATGGTGATGTTTTGGTAAAAAAACAGGAATGGAGTTATCTAAGAGGAGGGCTAACGACGCTCGATCGTGATTATGGATGGATAAACAACATACACCATGACATAGGCACACATGTCATACATCACCTCTTCCCTCAAATCCCACACTACAATTTAATCGAAGCTGTAAGTTTTGTCCCTATTTTCATCAATAAAATCAGCTATTTTGAGTAAAAGATTGTCGCCGACAATTTTCTTTTTTTTTTTTTCCTGAAAAAATTGCAGACGGAAGCAGCAAAGCCGGTACTAGGAAAATATTATAAGGAGCCGAAAAAATCGAGCCCAATTCCTTTCTACCTATTGGGAGTCCTCGTTAGAAGCTTGAAAAAGGATCACTACGTGAGTGACACGGGCGACATTGTCTATTATCAGACCGATCCTCAACTCAGTGGTTCTCACAAATCTTAAATATGCAACGACGACGTGTCCAAGAATGCATTCATAATAGGACAATATATATAGGAACCCGAACTTTTATTTTTTTCCCAATAAAATTGATTATTTTTTCATCTTGTTGTGGGGTAGTACCATATACAAGTATTTAATTCGACAAACCATTTGATATGTATTTGTGCAAGGATGTGATAATATGTGTCGATCTCTTGTTCTTGTGCACGCATTTGTTCGTTTACTTCACTTACCATAGGCACAAGGCGAACAAATTTTGTTATAGACTTTAGACGAAGTAACACAGATGCAGAAAACGAAAGGGGAAGTGCTGACTGAATAAGTAATACATCTCGTTTCAGAGTATCGAACACGAACATGAAACACTTGTTTCAGCTTCCACTGCGTCTAAACCGTCTGTCAAAAATGTGTGTTTTCACGTGTTTACAAATATTTACTCGTTTTTTCACCCACGAAAATTTCAAATCAAAAGAAGTAATAGTTCACAACCTGATTAAATGAGAAGCAACATAAATCTGAACTTGGCATCACAACAATAACTCATGGAATCGACCTTTTCGAAAGATAAAAAGCGATATTTTTTCAAAAGTACAAAACTACTTCCAACTCCATTTCTAATTCCAAAAAAATTGTATGTACGGAATTTAAGAAAAAAAAAATCATACAATTGTTTTAAAAATTCCGTAAATTATCAGAACTAAGAACGATGACGTTTAAAAAATCAATAGCATGAATTTCATTAATGACTCATTGTGAATCTCAAAAAATCAAGTCGTCTATATAATCAAATTAAAAAAATCCATATATTTCAAATTCCAATCCAAAAACATCGGAAAAATCAGAAATTGGAGGAATAAAAAAGTGTTGTGACATTGGAAAATTTAGGTCGGAATTGGGAGAAATAGGAAAATTACGTTCCAACTTTCATCCATAATTGTGGTACAGAAATATTCTACAACTCAGTGGCAGATAACTAGGGAATAAAATTGAAGAATATGAAAAATGGAGATATTCATTCCTATAAACAAGTTAACTAGGGAATAAAATTGAAGAATATGAAAAATGGAGATATTCATTCCTATAAACAAGTTACGGAAGAAAGAGAATTACATGGGAAGAATATACTCACTATGAAAAAAATATATTCATTATGAAGAATTGAGCAATATATCTTCATCAATTGAATCTACTAAATAAAGAATAAGAATTTGAAAGAATATGAAACTAAGTATCAACTCAAAGCAAATTGTGCACCAACTGCTCCTCTTGTATGTACATTTGATCAAACAATTTCTGCTTCTGCTGCTCATCTTTCACCATTGTATCATTCATATTCACCAGACCCATTATCCTTATCATTATTCTTATTATTTTTATTATTATTATTACCGTTTCTATAACCGAAAGACGCCGACTTCGTCAGCTTATTCACATCATCCTCATTATTAAAGCCCCAGTCCACCTGTCCATCAGGTGGGCCCTGTTCGAATAGTTTCGACTGCCTGTGACTCGGCGAAGCACCAGAATGGTAGCCGTCACCGCCACCACCACGACCGTTTCTTCTATCAATAAAGTTGAGGCTCCGTCTTGCGAAAGCAGATGATCTCGAGTGTGCAGCCATGGGAGCAGATGAGTCAAAGCCACCACCACTACTACCAATAGGGTTTCTCGAAGGTGAGGACGACATATTCGAAGAAGAAGGGTAGCTCGTCCGAAGCTGGTGGTGCCCATTCTTCCGAATGTGGGGCCCGCTCAGAGATTGCATGTGGGGCTCGTTTGGTAATCGCACGTGGGGCCCGTTGGGAGATTGCACATGGGGCCCGTTTCGTAATTGCACACGGGGTCCGTTGGAAGATTGCACATGGGGCCCGTTTGGTAATTGCACGTGGGGCCGGTCGGGGGATTGCACATGGGGCCTGCTTGGAGATTGCACGTGGGGCCGGTTAGGAGATTGCACATGGGGCCGGTTTGGTAATTGCACGTGGGGCCCTTTGGGAGATTGCATGCGGGGCCCGATTGGAGATTGCACGTGGGGCCCGGTGATGTTGTTATATTTCGGCGAGAGCCCCTGCAATTTTGATAGCAAAGAAGGATCGAGAGATTCAGTGATCTCACCGAGTCTTTCCGAACTCAATTCCCCTATTCTTGATGATGAGCCGTACGGTGTAGTAATACGCGTAATCTCCTTCAGCAGCTGCCGCCTTTGCTGCATGCGGATCTTTTCCAAACCTAACAAACCCACATCCAAATCCACCTCCCTCGCGCTAAAACCCGCCCTGTTCTGCGACGTGGCGGATAATGGTGACATCATCGCCTGTGGCGACGGTGACGTCAGCTCCAAAGAATTGACCGGAATCGATTGCCCGGAAGTCATAGCGGACCCCGTGGAGTCGTTCAAAGGGCGAAGTTCGTCCAAACTGTGCGCGAAAAAGCAAACTTTTCTAGTGCAGCAAGTTTCTTCCTTGCACAGCCTTGTTTTGTACACTGCAGGGTGTAGCCAACACTCGAAAATACCATGACCATATTCGCAAGCATTCCCCCTAACGCAAATCCCTCTCCTGTAATCCGGACAAGGCACACAAGTGTAGTTATGAGTACTAGGATCGCGCCTCCTCGCATTCTCGCCAGGGTGGACAAACGGGCACTCTTTCCAATCGTGCGAATAACCCATCGTGCATGGCTTCACCTTAAAGCTATACATTCTGAATTCATCGCTCCCATATACCCCATTATTCATATCCGGCAAACATGTATCAAACGGATACGCTTTCTTCCGAATTCCCTCTTCGTCTTCATATTCTTCGATGGAAACTCCGTTTCCGTTCAAAAGCATATCTAAAGTTCTGCTCTTGTAGTTATTGGAAGATTTGACGCAAAACGGAATTAATTCACCGGGTCTTCTCCCTCTCACATCGACAACGTTGGTATCCGCATTGGCTTCAATCAAGATTCGGACAGCCTGGACGGACGACCTCGAGTCGCCAGCTGTCGCGCAGTGGAGGGCGGTGGCTCTATCCGAACCGCATGATCTGTTCAGGTCGACTTTCTTGGTTCGGATTATGTACTTGAGAACCTCTGTGCTTCCGTACAGAGAGGCAATCATGATTGGGGTTCGCTCTTCGAGGGACATCTTCTTGGAGCCGAAGCTTAGGCCGTACCATAACCCGACTTCGTTTACGTCACAACCCATCTTCTCTACTTGGTATCTAAAGCCGTTCAAATTGTCTGTGGCTGCTAATTCGAATAATTTTGAGCAATTCTTGCCCACTTGTGATGCAGCAGCCTCCATCTTCGATTGAATAGGGCTCTTCGGTTTATTCTTTGAATCTGAAAATTAACACAAAAGAAATTAGCGCTGAAAGATGAATCGAAAACACCACCCTACGTGTCAATCTCTATATTCACTAATGGCAGCAGATGCCTATGTATGTATATATATAATATATAGATATACAAAAAACAAAAATACAGACTCGTATATCAATTTACACAAATTCAACCCATTTAACGAACAATTCCTGCAAAATTACTATTGCAACAAAGTTTTAACATGAGAAAAACTTGTGTGCAGATCAAAAAACCATATCATAAAACCAAAAACACCCACCAAGAATGTCGAAAGTAAACTAGAAATCGAATCTTTAAATGCAAAAACAAAAAAAAGAAAAAAAAAAAAGAAAAAAGGAAGAAGAAAGAATGGTACCTAGAATTAGCAGGGAAACTTCGCGGGTGAATCTTTGAACCGGATTTACAAAATTTAATAAAGTTGGGGAAGTCTTGGGAGTTTGGACTCTGGATGCAATCTATATATACTGTTCAATCGATTCACGAGTCAATGACGGAGTAGGAAACTGTGACTTTCTTCTAAATTTTACTTAAATATTTTTTCTCAGAATTTTCCTTCGCTATTTGTTTCCTAATTGGGTCAAAGTCAAAACTTCGAAAAGTGGGGTCCACATGGCCTCGGGCCGGGTCTAACCCGGAAAAGGAACCGCCCCGCACCGGCCACGACCCGACCACCTTGGACCTATACCCGGCCCCGAGTTAGTATGGGTTGGTTTTGGGTCTTATTTTTGTCCGAGACCCGACGGGTCCACCCGAATTAAATACTTTCTTTTTTAATTTTAAATATGTAACAAATATAAACCGGACCCAATCCGGACTCGGATTGAAATTTCAATTTTTTTTATTTTAAATTTGCAACGGCCGTTTTCTTGGGTCCACCCGGAACCGATCCGAACCCGAATCAGACCCCGGTCTGACATAATTCAAACATTAATTTTTTTTTTCAACGATCAAGATCATCTGACCGTTTGAGATGGAGGGCGAGGAATCGTCGACCGTTAGACCAGAGCTAGACCCGAGCCGGACGAATTTCCATGTTTTTTTCTTTTTTAACCTATAAATACCCCTCTCTATTTTCTCACCAATTCACTCACAATTCTCTCTACTCTCTCAGATCTCAAGTGTTTTCTAATCTCGGTTAAATTTGCAAGCATTCTCGATTTTCTCTCTGGTTTTCAATTTTTGTTTTTCTTTTCGTTACTTTAAAAAAATGTATTCAAGTGATAATCGTGTAAAGGGAAAAGGCGTAATCCCTCCCGAATTGGAGAGGGATTGTTCCAATAATTGGCAACACCAATCAATTCCCAAACTCGAATCTCAAACTATTAATTATCATAATGTACTTCTTAGTAGTGATGATGATGATGAGCCGACCGAGGTACCACCTCCTAGCCGACCGATCGTAGTGCCACCTAGGCCAAGGCGATCGAGGGCCCTTATGCCATCTCCTACGCCAACTTCTACGCCGTCTCAATCATCACTCGGTGTAGGATCCCTAATGAATGATACGGAAGCAAAGTCTAACATGTTTCGTGTCCATTTTACTCGAGTGGTTATGGAGGATGGGAGCATAAACGAGTTTTGCAATTATTGAGAGGCATTTGTCTAACTTTTGCAAGACTTTTTTTTTTTTTTTTTTAATTAATTCGTGGCACATAGCATGCCCGCGGTAAATCATGAATTCATACAAACAATTACATATAGCAATTCACGAAAATTCATATTGCGAATATTAACATATAATTTAATCTAATTAAATTAATACCTAATTAAAATCGGATCCGAAAAATACCTCTTGAAGCGTGAGGCAAACTCTCGGATTGAAGCAAACTGCCACCACGGAAACCAAGCCGTGCAGTCGAGAGGAGCAACGGCGACGGACGCGCTCAACGACGGTGGCGCGTGAGATCCACGCGCGGTCTTTGGGCGGCGCGTGGGGGCGCGTGCGGCGGTGCTTCGACTATGGCTTCTCGGCAATTCGACTGCTTGGTCTTCCTCCTCTCGGATTTCACCTCGTATATTGAGATCTACTAAATACGTGGCACTAGACACGCAAAAGTCAGAATAGACGGAAGAAAAAGACAAAAGGAAAGAAACTACCAATAGCAATCGGCGCGTGAGGCCGATTCTGGCGACGTCGACAGTGGAGGAGAATCGGCCGAGGGTTGTGAGAGAGCGGCTAGGGTTTTCTCTTTTGTGTTGTCTCTTGTGCAAGACCTATAAATCATGTATTTATAGTGTCTTGTATAAAAGCCCTAACGGGCTTATGTTCGTTAGTCTTTACTCGCTCGTTTCTCACAACTCAATGATCGGAAAATTATAACCATTACATTTTCGGAATCATTGAAACGTCCTCGTCATTACGAGTGCCAATTCTCGATTTCCAATTTCCAAAAGTGGAAGCCCTAATTCAGTGGACCTTCTAAATTTGGAAACTTCCCAATTTAGAAAGTTCGCTAAGATGTTCGCCTATTCTTTTCCTTTTCTTATTCTCACTCATAATTCCAAATTACGATTGTTGGACTTAATCATATTGACTTCCAATCATGCAAGGATTAAATATTTTTATCTTTGACCGTTTATTCAAAGATCTTGAGTGCACGAGCAGTGTGACCCTCGATGGTTCAGGTGTAAGCTAGCCGTGGGTCTGTTGGGAATCGGGCACGTGTACGCAACGGAAAACAAAAAAATTACATGAAATAAACGATTTAAATAATATAATCACATGCTCGATTTGTATTTAAGCAATTAATTACGTACCTTATCGCTTCCAGCGAAAATTAAAATACATCATGCATATTAATTCGACAATTAAAACACATAGCATGCTCGCAACAAACGTAATATTCATGCATATAATTTCATGAGAAACGATCAAGTAAAACATACATATCAATTTCATGAAAAACATATAGCACATAATTTAATCTAATTAAATAAAACGTATTAACTAACGAATCCGAAAGATAACCTCTTGAAGCGTGAGGCGAACTATCGGATCGAAGCAAACTGCCACGGAAACCAATACGTGCAGTCGGCAGGAGCAGCGGTGGTGCGGTGGCGACATACGCGCTCAACGACGGCGGCGCGTGAGATCCACGCGCTGTCTTCGGGCGGCGTGTGGAGGCGCGTGCGGCGGTGGCTCGGCAGCGGCTTCTCGGTTATTCGACTCCTTGATCTTCCTCCTCTCGGATTTCACCTCGTATACTAGATCTACCGTGGCACTAGAAACACAAAAGTTAGAATAGACGGAAGAAAAGAAGAAAGGAAAGAAAACTACCAAAACTGATCGGCGCGTGAGGCCGATTTCGGCGACGAACAACGGCGGTGGCGACGACCGTGGGTGAAAGTGGCCGAGGTGTGAGATCCGAGTGGCTAGGGTTTTGTGTAATGTGTTGTGTGTTATGCATGACCTATAAATCATGTATTTATAGTGTCTTGTATAAAATCCCTAACGGGCTTAAGTGTGACAGGGCCCAACAACTTAAGTTCGTTAGTTCTTTACTCGCTCGTTTCTCACAACTCAATGAACGGAAAATTGTAACGATTAAATTTTCGGAATCACTGTAACTTCCTCGTCATTACGAGTGCCAATTCTCGATTTCCAATTTCTAAAAGTGGAAACCCTAATTTAGTGGACTTTCTAAATTTGGAAACTTCGCAATTTAGAAAGCTCACTAAGATGTTCTCTTATTCTTTTCCTTTTCTTATTCTCATTCATATTTCCAAATTACGAATGGTGGACTCAATCACATTGACTTCCAATCATGCAAAGATTTAACATTTTTATCTTTGACCGTTTATTCAAAGATCTCGAGTGCACGAGCAGTGTGACCCTCGATGGTTCAGGTGCCGTGAGTCCACAACCCTTTGTGGTCTAAACTCGTCCCTTAGAGTTACGATTAAGATGAAGCTCGTTTTACCTGAATCACCCAACAAATCAAGATTGGCGTCTAGAAACTACGCGACATGATTCCCTAGATACAAATGAAGTGCCTGCAACAACCTTTTGATATAGTTAACGTACAGTACGATCCCTTCGATTCATATGTCACGATTGAACTAGAGGTATTGGTTCATCGAGGCCTCCTTAGTAGATCAATAACCGTGCGATTGTTCTAAGTGTTGTAATCGGTACGTGCATGACTTAGAGAATTGAATTCTCTAATCATCACTTAGTCACCTCTGGCCAGAGACTTAGAGATTACCAACTATGAGAACACACAAGACATCCAAGACTATTCTAGCGATCAAATCCCCGATTACAATGCACATACCTCCCACTAGATTTCGGACTGCACGAACACTGGCCCTTGGGGCGGTCTTCGGTGGACCCAGGGACAGGTCACGATACAGCTGGTCCTCTAGTGAAGTCACGGTGATGTCTAGGTCATAAGGACTAATGGTGTACAACTATACCATAGATATCTCTACTCGATTATTGAGAAACACTTAGAGATTTCTAGGGTGAGGGAGTTCAGTGAACTCGTAAACTTACGAGCACCCACTTATGCATGCCTGATATCACAATACCGTTTACTGATGAGATGCAGTGCACATACACTAAATGCTAGTCTCTTAATGGGAAAGGACGATATCCTCATAGGTGGCGTAACCCTTCGACTAGGAACACGTTTAACAATTATAATACTAAGGTAAATATCTCACGATTCTAAAGATCAATTACTAGTACTTGTAATAACTGTAAGGACTATATCTATGTTGGAAACAAGGGACAAAGATATAGAATGCCAAGGTGTTTTATCATTAATACAAAAAATGATTATTTATTAGAAGAATAAATGGAAAAACCACAGCCACAAGTTGGCTTGTTGGTCATCTACTCTAACAATCTCCCACTTGACCTAAAGCCAACTACCCATAAATCGTAATCCCATCGACTCTCTATGTTTCTCGTGGACAAACCTTGGTACAGGCTTCGTGAAGGGGTCTGCAACGTTCTCTTCCGAGGTGACTCATTCTACTTTAACTTCACCTCTATCAATGATCTCTCAGATCACATGATAATTCCTCAGAATATGCTTGAACTTCTGATGAGATCTCGGCTCCTTAGATTGCGCCA